TTTTACAACCCTTTTAAAACCAAGGCATCACTGTGATGCATTTGCATGTCGTAAACATAGTTGTGTGGGTTTTTTATTCAACCGGTTTAAAAAATGAAGGTATCACTGTGACACAATTGCAAATCGGAAAATTGCTTGTGTGCGTTTTTTAAGACACAGCTGCATGTCGTAAACTTACTTGTGTAGTTTTTTTATAGCACCTACTTAAGAAATGAAGGTTGTTTTTACAACCCTTTTTTAGGGTATTTTAAGGCACCTTCTTAAGAAATGCGCGTTTTTTGCAACCCTTTTAAACAATGAAGGTATCACTGTGACACAATTGCAGATCGTAAAATTGCTTGTGTTGTTTTTTTTAAGCCACCACAAGACACAGCAGGTAGAATTGAAATTACCATTTCATTCTTATTACCTCGTCTCGTAGACCATATATAACGCAACAGTTTTTGTGAATGCATTAAGTCGTTGTGAAGAACTCAAAGTGTGAAGTGCTAATTTCAGATAAAAAAATATTTCAAAAAAAAGTTTACAATGAATCCACCATCCTCTACACCGCAAGATGAAGCAACTACATCAATAACTATCGAAAACCCAATGAGTCATATACCCAAGCATGATGTTACTGTTTTTGGTGTGTCTACTGATTTAACTGATCTTAATTTACCAACTCATCTGGATATCTTGAGATATTATTTTTACTTAAGCGAACGTGCTAAAACAGAACAAAAAAAGTTTTCCCATAAATCATTCACTATTCAAGTACAAGATAAGTTGATTGGAATTTGGGAAAAACTTGGTATGGAAATAATGCTGAAAAAAAGTGTATTTAATAAATTGAATAAATTGCTTGACAAGTATCAAGAGCAAATCAAGAGAAGAAACAACACCCAACAATTTACAGAGTATGTAAAATCTCTGGAAACAATTTTTTACATTGGAACATGTAAATGCGATTTGAAGGCAGCTCCATGTGCATGCGGCTGGGTTCCCGAACGCCTCAAAGAGTTCATGCACGATCAACATAATCAGAGAAGACTAACAATGGATGCATTTGTGATGGAAACTGAAGAGCAAGGAGCAACGTCTATGTCATCAATGCCAACATACCAAGATCCCGATGATTCAACATACGCACCGCCACCGGTTCAAGAAGATATGGATAGAAGCACAAGTTCACAATACACAGAGAGATACGATTGTTTTAACTTTGCCTTGGTATGTGACAGATTTGGTGTGCCTGACAGAGTAGCATCAGCATTGGGAACCGCTCTTTTGCAAGATTTTAAAATTAAAGATAAGCATGGGAAACCTCTCATCATGGATAAATCGAAAGTTCGCAGAGAAAAAGAGAAATGCAGACAAGAAGTGCTTCGCAAACGGTTAGATGATACCAATTTGTTAGCGTTTTCATTCGATGGCAGAAAAGATGATACTTTAACGATAGATAAAATTGATGAGAAGTATCATACTAGGATGGTAAAAGAACCTCATCTTGTTATTTTGAGAGAACCCAATTCTGAATTGATTGGTTACGTAAGACTGGAACATGAAACCGCTGAATACAAAACAACCAAATTAAATGGTTTTTTCAACGATAAAAATATATCACTGGATGCATTAATTGGAATATGCACTGACGGTGAGCCAACAAACACTGGCCCACACGGTGGAATTATACGACGATTCGAATTGCTGTTAAAAAGACCATTGCATTGGTTCGTTTGCCTTCTACACTTCAACGAACTTCCGTTTCGGCATTTGTTTGAAGCTTTGGATAAATTAACCAGCACTGGACCAAGATCGGCAACCGGAAAACTGAGCCGTCAAATCGAAACTTGTGAAACTCTTCCGGTAAGTTATTGCTATCACTCATTTATTATAATTGTCAACCATTTTTAATTATTTTATTATTATATATTTTCAGGTGGTGGACGGCTTCCAGAAAATTGAGTTGCAAAATATGCCCCCTGCTCCAGAAAAAATTGAATTTTCCACCGATTCGAAGTACTTATACGACATGGCCCATGCAATTTCTAGCGGCGTGGTTCCGGTGGATCTGGCTAACATCAAACCAGGGAAAATTGTACATTCTCGGTGGCTCATCAAGGCCGCTAGATTATTGCGATTATATGTGACAACGGAAAATTCAGATGCAAATTTAAGAATTCTGGTTGAATTTATAATTAAATGTTATGTGCCAATGTACTTCAATATCAAGTATTACAGCTCTGTCGTGTACGGCAGTGCATTATTTTTCAAGTTCATTGGTTGGTCACGATTTCTAGAACCTCGTTTACGCAAAATTGTCAATCAAGTAATTAAAGATAATTCATATTATGCGCATTCGGAAAATATCTTGTTATCAATGTTGTTTGATGATAGCAAAGAAAAGCGCGACTGTGCCATCAAGAAAATTCTACGCCATCGAACCGATGTTGACGAGGCAATGGAACTTAGAGTTTATAAAAAACCAGATATAAACTTTAATTGCACAAGTTATACGGAAATGATCAATTTGAATGATATAAATATCGTATTTGAACCACCATTCACGCGAAGCATTCCGTACGATACATTGAAAGAATATTTAAATCAAGATGATCCACCGTTTAATGATCCAAAAATTCCATCACACATACAAGGAACGGAACGACATGTTCAATTGCTAGCTAGCGTTTCCAAACGGGTTATACCGGAAAATGTAGAGGCTGTTATGGCGACGACATTAGAGAGCCCAGACTTGAAAGTAAAAAAGACTTCAAACAATAATTTTTTTTAGTTTCTTTTCTATAACTCACTTAAATTAATTTCTTCATTTACATATGTTCTGACTAAATAAATTTCTTAAGAGAAAAAATAGATATTATTATAAATAAATAATAAATATTATTATAAATAAATAAATAAAAATAAAGAAAAAACATAGCCATTTAGCTGATTTTTTCATGTAAAGGCCAAAAATGGTGATTTTTTGAAATGATTGTATGGGGAACCCCCCAGGGGAGTTCCAGGGGGTGTGCCACTGGCATGGGTGGATCGGCCGTCCAAAGTTAGTGGGGGTCGGTCATACATTTGGACTCGATTGGAGCACTCTAAATGGGTCAAAGTGGGATTTTTCAAAATTTGCCCCTACCCAAAAGTTCGACCCAAATTGGGGGACATCAGAATTCGTTTTAGAGGTATGGTTCCTTCGGCAAAGTTTCTTATTTTGATCCCTAGAATACGATTTTCACAGAGCAATGAGCGATTTTTAAATCGACCCGCCCTAATGTGCATACAAGCAAGTATGTTCCTTACAATTTCTAATTGAATATGTTCATTAATTTTTTTGTTCAAGGCTCGAATAAAAGTGATGCGCCGGAATCGGTTGAAGATTCAAGCGATTCGGATAAAGAATATAGGCCAAACAGAAGAATACGAAAAGGAACGTCCCAGGTAGGAATCATTTCAAAAGATCAACTAATAAAAGGTACGCTAAATGTAATTTTTGCGGTAAGGAATATAAGACCAGTGGCAACACGTCAAATTTGTTCGACCAACCCAAGCGAGTACACCCTTCTTTCCAAAAAACCACTCTGCCAGTTTCCACAGTCGATTCTTATTTTTCGAAAATCCCTAGTTATGAAAATAGTTCAGCAAAAAAGCTTGCGCATGATCCCCCTGTAATGAAGATGATTGCCACAGACTTGCATCCGTTTCGTATAGTAGAGATGAAAGGGTTTCGCGAATTATTAAATAATTGTGACCCTTTTTACGTTCCTCCTAGCAGAATAACCATAAGGAATGTGCATTTAGGCAATTTGTATAACGAAATAAAGAAAAAAATGCAGACAATTTTAGCTGATGTAGACCATTGCGCGCTAACTACTGACTGTTGGACTTCTGTACGTAATGAGAGCTACTTAACAGTTACATGTCATTTCATAACTAGTAATTTCAAATCGCAATCAGCGGTCTTGTCCATGACAGGATTGGTAGAAAAACCAAAACATAGCAAATTCGGTACATTTAATGCAAAATACAAGGCGGCACAAAACTTAGAAACTCCTTATAGTCTAGTACTAGAGATGCCAACACGCTGGAATAGCGCTTATCGGATGGTAAAAAGACTTCTGTTAACAAGAGAAGCACTCACCATGGTGGTTTTAAAAGCACTGAAACCTCCATCTCCACTCACAGCTGATGATTTTATGATATTGGAAGACTTGTGTATGATATTTTCCCCTTTTGAAGATGCTACAGTCCAAGCCTCACCTGGCACATCTGTAACCGTATCCTTTATTTTATTTTTTTTTTAAGTTAGAACCTTTTTAGCGGTAAAGAGTGTTTTGAAATTTTATAATATGAAAACCGACACCACTCAGAAATGGTTTACATAAATCATTAGGAATATTTTTTGAGGTTTTTGAATAGGATTTCACCTGTTTAAAAAGCTGAATTCAATTTTAGCGTTTTAACGTGATGCGGGTTCACTAGTTATTTAATATTTCGTGTAAACTAGTGTAATAATATTGAAAAATACATAAATCTTAAATCAAGTCAAATCGGTCTATATCGAATGCAAATTTTGCGGTAAAATTAAAGTTGAGTTGTCAAAATATGAAAAGACAGTTAACATCAAGCGCGATGGTAAGAAATTCGGTAAGACATATATGTTTTACCAGAGGAAATTCGCGGTTTCCAGCTGACATTTCTGTCTTAACACAGATTTTTTAACGGAATCTGTAGAAGGTATAGATGTGAGGTTAAGGCCGCAACAACTTATGATCATATGAAGCATTAATTTAGCATACAACAACTTTGTCTTTGCCTATATCGGCGAATGCATTCTTTACTAATATTTTATCATTAGTCGCCCATTTTGCTT